ATTTTATATTATTACTATCTATTTCTGAGTAAAATAAAAGGCTTTGTTCTGATTCATTTTTAATTCCTCTTGTGTATCACAGTGGATACCAATAGTTAACATACATTGCATATGCAAAATTATCGATACATAACCATCATAGATAGATTAATGACTGAATGAGTCTGGCTTCTGGCTACTCGAGCTTTGTTTGGATAAGATTCGATTCGAATTTCACTCGTGAACTTGAATAATTTTTTAAATTTGTTTAAAAAACGAGTGTAAAAAGTTCGGCTCAAACTCACAAATCTCGGCTTATTTTTATATATAAAATAATCGAGTTACTCAGACACAGCTCGTTTAGAAAAACGAACTCAACAAGTAGGGGGTGCTATCAAGCTAAGGTTTGCGAGCTTGAACCCGAGCATATCTTGTTCGTAAACGAATTTAAAAAATTGTTCAAGTTTAGTTTATTTAAAACTTGAGCCGAACTCGAGCGGAGCCCGAATAACTCGACTATTTTACATATAAATGAAAGGAACTTTACGAACTTGAACCGAGCCTTTTTAGGCTTGTTTAAGCCTAAAAAATTGTTTAAACTCAACTCGTTTAGAACACAAGTTTGAGCTTGAGCTTGAGCCGAGTCTTACTCGAGCCGAATCTGAGTAGCTCGTCTCGATTAACACCTTATTGACAGGTCGCTTCAAGTTCGCAAAATTCGATTCAATTATCAGCCCTACCAACCACCAGGGGAACATGTTTCTAAACTCACTCAGACTACGGTAACCAATATCTAAGTTTGAAAGAATTGTCAAGTCTAGACACTCTGAAACAAAAACAAAAAAAAAAAAAAAAACTCGATACAAAAAATTATGAGAGTAGATTGTTGCTTTCGGTTTAGTTTCAGGTCTTGTTTCAATTATTGAAGCGACCGAACATGATTAATTCAATTTTTTGTTTGTCCATATTGTTTCTTTGGAGATCAAAAACTATCACCTTTTTTCAAATTTTCTTCTTTTTTGGTAATGCTTCTTTACAAATATTTTTAAGAAAACATAATTTTCTCAGAATAATAGAAATAATTTTAATTACTATTGTATACAAATCAGCTATATGTATCTTATTATCCAAATAATTTATTTATATGTATATATGTCTTATGATAGATTAAATTAATGCTCCGTTTAGTAGGAAGGATAAAAAATAGGAGGAATTCACTTTCTATCCTTCAAGGATGAAAAGTAGGAAGGATATATTTTTCTTCATTTGTGTTTGGTTGGATGGATGGAGAATAACAATAAATATTTTTTTTTTGTGTTAGCTAAAATTAGGGATGACAATTGAGTCGTATCGTGTCGTATCAGATTCACTCAGATAAGAAAAAGAAAAAAAAAACAGATATTAGTCATTAGATTCGTACTGAACCTCACTATATGTTTATTATTAAAAAAAATCGATAGTGTACCAATTCTTATTTTTATGGGGTATATATACTAACTTTACGGTGAAGATTATTAACTTTTGAGCATACTTATTAATTTATTATTTGGTTTTACTTATTATTTTTGAATTTTTAATATAATTTCGATACTGTAATATTTTCCTTCCCAATAACATTGCTCGAGATCAAATATACTCAATGTAACTTATACCATTTGGAGTAATATTAGTTGGATTTAATTTATTAGTTTAATCACTCATAACTATTAAATTAATGGTGAAGCTCAAAATTTATTAAAATTTACAATTAGGGGTGTTAATTAAGGTGAGCTTTCCGAGCTTAAATCCGAGTTTGTTGAACTTATTTTTTTAAACGAGTCTCAAAAATTGTTCAAGTTCGTTTATTTAGAATTCGAGTCAAGTCCAAGTAATTCTATTATTTTATATATAAACGAGTCGAACTTTATGAGTTTGAGCCAAATTTTTAAGACTTATTTTTTTAAACAAATTTAAAAAATTATTCAAGTTCAACTTATTTAAAATACGAATCAAATTTTATCCGATTCAAACCAAAATCGAACGTGAGTAACTCGCGTCGGCTAACACCATATTTACAATCAACAAAATAATTGTGATAAATTCAATAAACAAATTAAGTTAAAATAAGATTATTGGAACTCTTTGTATCTTTTGGATGTTCAGCCCTGCCAATGTCATGCACGTCAAGATCGTGGCTAACTCTCACTAGTTTACACAAACCACAAGGCTGAAAACGATCCATCATCTTCATCGAACAAGCATGAATCTGCCACGTGTCATACAGAAGTTGTTGTCACGACGATTCCCATTTCGAGGAAAGAAAAAGCACTATTAAGGCGACTACTTGACGAAGACCTCAAATGGACGAATGGCAATACAAAGGTCATGCAAAAGTTGCCATGTCCGTACAAATTCTCTCTCTCTCTCTCGTGCTTTTCCTTCCTCTCTAAGCTTTCCTCACTCTCTTAATAAGTCCGCTCTCATTCTCAGCACCGGAGTTTCATCGTTTTATCTCTCTCTCTCTCTCTCTCTCTCTCTCTCTCTCTCAGTCTCTCTGGTTCTGTGTTATTGTCTATTGGTGATCGGTGCACGTTGAGTAATGGCGACGCCAAAGGAACACGTAGAGGAGATACGGAGAACGAAATTCTCGATCGGTGGAGAACCGAATCCGTTGACTGAAGATCTCCATCAGGCTGTTAAGAATCTCTCTGCTGAACTCTACGCCAAAGATGTTCACTTTCTCATGGAACTCATCCAGGTTTTCTATATTCATACATTTTTTCATATTAATTATAATTTACCCTCTCTAACTATATATCTCTTGTTGCAATCACCTCCTCCTGTAATTTTTCCCCTTCAAGTTTCACGCGGACTACGACTGACAATAGTGTTTGGAACATGAAAGTAGAATGTATATCATTTCTCATATTTTTTCTTGAGATATCAATTCTATCCCCTAAAAAATAAGGATCTTGTCTATCATTTCCCATATTTTTTCTTGAGTTATCAATTATATTCCCTAAAAAATAAGGAAACAGAAAAGGAAAAAAATTACATCTACACCTGCTCGGCCCAACACCAATACACTGCACAACGCTATGTTCACCTTCACTTTTGTACATAGACACTCTTTTTCGAGGGTTATAAAGCTTAATTTGGTATAGGCTTTTTTAATGGACAAACTCAAATTTAAAGAAGAATAAACTCAAATATAAAGTAGAGCAAATTAAAATTTGAAGAAATGTGAGATATGGTTGGTGGATCTTTTAAAAGAGCAAAATTTGACTATTGAAAATTTAAATAAATATTTAAATTTGTCTTTATTTGAGTAAAAAGTTGAAATTCCCTTCATTTGGTATAGGTTAAGTAAAGACTTGTTTTTATTTTTATTTTTATTTTTTACTTAAATTTAATTTAAATTTGAGTGAGGAAAGATTTGAGTAAAGGGCGGAGATGATCTAACATAAGCCACTTTTAATAATATAAAATTAACTGTTAGAGTTAATTACAAAATATTTAAATTTGAAAGGATTATTTGTTGAAATTAAAACCTGAAAGGTGAATGAAAAACTATCCAAAGTTAAAAGGATATTTTGTAGTTAACCCTGGCATATACGGTATATATCGCGCGCGCGTGTGTGTGAATTTATGAATTAGGAATAATTACATTTAGTTTCTAAAAGTTTATCATTTAATTATTCAGAGCCTCTAAAATTTAAAATATTACACACAAACTCTCTAAAATTTGTATGCATGTAATCCTTAAACTCTTGGCTTCGATGTCTATTAATATATTCGTTAATAAATTATATTTAGGCCTTCTTTGTAGGTATATAATACTTAGACCCCTAAAAATTTAAAATGTTATATTTAAACCAAAAAAACTCTAATCAAATATAAAATATAAAATATTTATTTTTTACAACAAAAATTTATATTCTATTATGACATTTATTAAAATAAAATCAAAAATAAAAATCTAATTTTTTAAAAAAAATCATAATTAGTATACAATTATATTAACATAACATATGACAATCTTCTTGAAGATGTTTCATAAAGTAAGCAACACACACTGTTTAGAGATTCAAAACGAGTTAAGTTTTATGTCCCAATTATTTGGGATCGACTATATGAGTCTTTGCTATTCATTTTAATTATGCATTATACGCCCAACTAAATATTCTCATCATTCCCTACCAAATGGACCTTATTTAGTAACGGATAGTGATATATGTTTTGTAGAATATTTTGAACAATTTGTACATTACAGAATGCTGAGGATAACGAGTATTTGGAAGGGGTTGAACCATCGCTCGAGTTTGTGATTACTTCCCGGGACATAACGGCCACTGGAGCTTTGGCGACTTTGCTTGTATTCAACAACGAGAAAGGTTTTTCCCCAAAGAACATTGAGTCCATCTGCAGTGTTGGGCGCTCTACCAAGAAAGGCCTCCGCAAACGTGGTTATATTGGCGAGAAAGGCATGTCAATCACTATCCATTTTTGATTACTTGTGGACTCTATAATTTTATAATATGGTTTTAAACAAAACATGCATGGATGGTTGGTAATAGGAGTTAACGTGGTTGACTTAAATCAAAAACTTAAACGGAATTGTTACGACATCCCCAAGTAATAGTTATTTGTTTTTTGACCTAAGATTTGTGAGTATTTGATAATCCTCATTTTCTCTTCTTCATTTTCTTCCTTGCATCCCTAGTTCACTGGATTATGGGGTTGACCCGCCTAGTCAAGCTGAGTTTAGCAAACACTAGTCCTTTTGTTTTTGTTGTTACTAGGTTGCATTATGCTAGTACTTAGGTTTATATTGTTTAATTTTAGTCCATGTTCAAAGCTTTTTCTTTAATTATGAACTTCCAAAATTGAATTGATACAATTAACACAGGCACAAACTATTAGGCCTTAACAGTAACGACATTAATGGCCCCTAAATATGATAGTCTTTGTCAATTTGCTTTTGTGTGCGTGTCTCCTTGGTTGAATCAAGATAATATTTCCTACAAATATCTATTAAGTCCTACTATTTTTGTTTTATGTCAATGAAGTCCTACTTTTAATGTTTTATTTCACTGAAGTCTTAATTCCATTATATTCAAAATTTACTCTTAACTTTTAGTTACCAAACTCTTTCATTCTTTCCAATATGTTACAACTTCGTTAACACAATCTCGCTTTAGGGCTTTTCAATTTCTATTTATTCCTTTTGCTCAACAACGGTGATGTTTTTTTTTTTTTTTGAAAATTTTTTTGCCCTTTTGTTCTCACTTTTCGCTCGTTGAAAAATTGTTAGAGCTAAGAAATACACAATTGTTGTGTATCAACTGTTATTTAACTCAACTTTATCTTTTTTTAAGAAAGGATCAGATGTCATTCCATTTGGATACGAGTTAATTTACTTTTTTTTTTCTAGTAATAATTTTGAATTTGTATTGAAGCTATTGTTATAAACACATAGATGCTCAAGTTTTATTTAGATAATAATATTCACTTTAGAAGTACAAGGCACAAGAATTCTCACCGTGAAACTCTTCTCCATTAAGAATACATAGAGTCCACTAATTCAAAAAAAAAAAAAAAAAAAAATACATAGAGTCCAAAGCCTTCTGATGTATCCCATAATGACAATTCTAAAAATTATTAATAATTGAATTTTTCATAAAACTAGCAAGTATGCAATACATAATTTAAAACACAAAAGGTCAATGTATGTATGAATAGAAAAAGGCTAATATTATAGCCCCAATATCTTAGGTCTTAATATTTATTAAGAGAAGGATAAAATTGGAACTAAATATAGTATTTATGAAAATTAGGACTTCATTTAAATAAATTACAAATAGGACTTCATTGATATAAAATAAAAAATGATAGGACTTAATGGATATTTGAGAGAAAAAAAATACTTAATACTTATTAGTAATTATTTCTTTGAAAAATCATTCTTCTAGAACTGGGCGTAAGTTAGTTTATCGTATATGTGGCCCAATGTTAAATTATAATGTGGGTATGCATCTTTCATGAAAGATCATGGCCATTCAAGATTGGTTTATAAGGTTGAAGGGCTTCTTTATCCATTGCCATTTGGTTTTGAGTTTGATTCTTTAACATGGTATTAGAACTAACTTGGAGAATGTATGGGCAAAACTCAATCTCTTTTATTTAGTAACTTGGTCTGTTGTTAACTTTCTCTACTTATTACCAATTGGTTTGAATTAACATGACATCAGAGTTTGTGGACAATGGATGAGATCTCTCACTAAATCCCAGTCTTCTTGTCTATTTGTTTGGATTCAATTTGTTAGTGCGCACTTTTTAGTTTAGGCTGCACGTTATGGAGGGTATGAAGGGTGCTTGTATGATGTAGGCAAGTTTCTTATATTTTATCATTTTTGGCAATATTTTAATTTAATCGAGAATACATTCCTATTTGACGTAAATGTCAGGCTTTTAAAATTTTCTAAATCCTTTTTATTACAAATAGGTTGTAAGACACAAGTCACAAGGTTCTATCAGTATCATTTAGACTTCTTTTAACAATATTCTAAGAGAATTTTCTCATATTTTTGCTTGTGGATTCAAGGGTTTATAGAATATGGTCTTGTAGATTCAAGGTTGTGTGATTGTTCTTCATAGAGAAATGTTGGTTTTGTTTTGTTATCATTATAACTATGTCAATTACTTGACATCAAAATCTTGATTAACCTAATGTAATGTCTAATCATCGATGTAGTGACAACTTTCCCTGTGTCGATGATTAGATGGAAGAGGACCTTGGGAGAATTGAGTTCTTAAGTGTCGATGTGGAGCCAACAAGCCTTTCATGATTGCTACAATCCAATTGTTCGGTCATCGTTTTGGGAAAGAACAAGGATGCAAATTAGAATGGGGTTTGTAACAACGATAGAGCTCGTGTTTGACTTATTTAAGATCACAATTATATCACTCTTATTGAGATATTTTAGATTTAGGTTATGGGATTGCTAATAAGTGTGGCCCACCAGTAAGGTTGTTCTATTGTGATCTGGGTGTCAAGAGTTTCGAGAGTTTCAGGACATGGAAACAGTCTCACTGTATGTGCGGATAAGTTTGAATACATTTGAGGCTTTCCCGATTCCATAATTTTTGTGGGAGTCATGCACTAGACAATTTTTTTTATTCTCGGGTAATGATTAGTATTCTACCAATGTGTTTGGTGGTTATGGTGATGCTATAGAACGTAGAGGGCGTGAAAGTGAGCCTAAGGATTTTCAGATGAAAGTTGATCTACCCAATTTTTATAGTCATTTTCCTATGGAAAAATTCATTGATTAGTCAAAGTTGGTAGGTGTTTCAGTTACATCAAAATTTTAGAGGAGAATAAGATGAAATCAGTGGCATTCTACATGGTGGGGGCAAATGCAAGTTTCATGTTCAAGGCAACGAAGCTCCTAGTTCGTTCTTTGCTTAAAGATGGAAAGATGTTGAAAGAGATATTTTTGCCTCTAAACTAAATAATTAGCATATTAAATACTAGCGTCCCACAATGCACGGGATTATAAGTTGTCTTTTTAAAAAATTTCTTTTTATTTTATCACTTTAAAAGTTAAATAAATAATAATATAAAGTTTAGGGTTGATAACAAAAAAAAATTTTTAATAAAATTTTTAAAATAGTGGTTAGTTTTTGAGGAGTTGAGGAATAGTTGCAAATGACACATGGTACAACCTGATTGGAAGGAGTCTTAGGTTTTGAATAAAAATTTCAAAATTCTAAGAAATTATGAAGTGAGGAGGAAAGGCTTCCCAAGCCCTTCACCTCCAAATTGTTTATTATACATATGTATAGATAGATTAGCCAAGTACTCCCACATTCAAAATAATTTAAATTGTATATATCCAAATAATTTAAAAAGTTTTAGTGAAAATTGGGGGCCTCTTGAAAATTATCAAGAAGTGAGTGTTGAAGAAATGGTGAAGACGAAACTAATCGCAATGTCACAAGCTAGGAAACATGGATATGGATACGAGATATAGGTATAATACGATAAGGATACAAATACGGCAATACTACAAAACCCCAAAAAATAGGATATATGTACGACCAGAATACATCTATAAAAATTTATATTTTATATTTGTACTATTATGTAATGACTTTATAGATATAATTTTTAGTGATTCTTTAACAATAATAAACAACATTAACAAGTTTTTATTTTCAAAAAGCCAACTATTGCATCACTATAGTATATCTACAAAGTGAACACAATTAATTAAAAGAATAAGAACCAACATTTAACTAGATTGTTTGCTTAGAAGTATTTGTTGCTAAGATTATAGTATAATCAATTCATTTATACACTTTGAACATGTGATAGTAAATAATATTTGGAAAACATGCATGTGTCTTTAAAGTCATATGAATTGATGTTGATGTAATGCATTGCATGTGAAATCGAAAGGAAGCGGTTAAGATTAAACTTAAAAGTTACACATATTTCTATGCATATAGAAGTATCCATAAAGTATCCATATATTTTATTTATTTTTAGATACGTTTGGTATGTATCAGATACGTATCATCGATTATCCGACGAGGATCGTATTCGATACGGATACGTCAACCATAACAAAAGATCTATGTTTCATAGGTCACAAATGATGATGCATGAACTGAAGTTATTGTACTTGAACTTGACATAATAGAGCTCAAAATTGATAGTGATGACAAAGACAAAAAGTTACGAGGAGGTGTCAAGTACACTCATAGAAGAAAAGATTACAGATAGAAAAGATAAGGAACGAAAATGCTTCTAGGTTGTTGATGACTTTTGATGATTTTGAGTTGTATCAATAATATTTGAAGCTTTTAATCTACGGCAACAACAAAGGAACATTAATAACTATGCCAAGAAAAATGTAGGCTACTATATGTTAGTGGGTAACCCAAAATTCACAATAACATTTACTAGAAGAAATTAATTTAATTATATTTTACCCCGTTGCTACAAGCAATCGAAATTCGAGGATGAGTTTTCTCAATTGGAGGGGGACAAATGCAAGGCATATTTATTATGTTTTTAGTATTAAAATTTAAGTATGAATATTTTTTTCACACGTGAATGGTGGTTGCAGAGTGTTAAAACTTGTTCGATGAAAAATCTCCCAGATTTATGTATGAGTCTTGTGGTGTTCTCTATTTATTGTCATTAGATATATAAAGTTGGATGCCTCTAACATAGTGATATAACTAACTTGGCCTTAAGTGTTAGCTAACCAAGTCTCTCATCAATCAAAACTCTCTGGTCTTGTTTGTTTGTCTGTCACAGATCAGTTTATTAACCCACATACGAGCCTCTGTTGCATGTGGGGAGGATGGATGTTAAGAACTTTGGTCCCATGTCGAAATATTAGGGCTGCCTAACAGTTGGTTTATATGGTTGATGAGTCCTTTCACTAATTGCTAGGAACCACAGATACTTCATCAAGGTCGACATATCAGTTTCAGATATGATACTCGTCGGATATTTGAGGTTATGTATTGGATACACATCAAACGTATCCAATAATAAATAAAATATATAAATACTTCACGGATATTTCTATATGCAAAGAAGTATATACAATTTTTAGTTTTAATCTTTACACATTGCTTTTGATTTCACATATAATGCAATACATCAACAAAAATTCATGTGACTTGAAAGGCACATGGGTGTACTCCAAATATTATTCATTATCACATGTTCAAAGAGTTTAAATGAGTTGATTATTTTATAATCTTGACAACAAATACTTCTAAACAAACAATATAGTTAAATGTTAATTTTTATTCTTTTAATTTCTCACATTCACTTTGTAGATGTATCAATGAGACAATAGGTAACTTTTTGAAAATAAAAAATTGTTAATGTTGTTTATTATCGTTAAAGCATCATTAAAAATTATAACTATTAAGTCATTATTTATAAATATTTCAGCCGTACCCATATCCTATATTTTGAGATTTTTTTACATCGCTATATCCGTATCGTATCATATCCGTACTTCCTAAACTAATTGTGTCACTTACAGCTTGCTCTTATTTCCATCAATATGCTTGGAAACAAAAACTTTCTTTCTCTCATGCACTTTACCTTTAAACTTTGTCTTGCAATTTTTTACTGGGGAAGTACCAGTCACCAGATTCCCACATTTTTAACCAAGAGTTAGTTTTGTTTTGGTGTATTATTTTAATCACCTACGAAATGGAGAAAAATCTCGAAACATTCAGAAATAAAATGTAAATATGCCAAAAAATCTTGAAACATTATGAATCTCAAAGTATTGGAATTTCGATTTCATCATTGATTCATTTTTGTCTAACTAAAAAGGGAAGATTGAATGGAAACAAATAAAAAATTGAGAATATATTTTCAAAACATTGATTGAAATATACTAAAGTATTATAACAGTTCAAAACATTCTGAATCAATGGTGTAAATATGGTGTAAATATGCCAAAAAATCTTGCAACATTATGAAAAACCTCAAAAGTATTGAAATTACGTTTCCGTCACTGGTTCATTTGTCTACTTGAAAATGGAAATGTTTTGGCTGTTATAACTGTCTTGTAACAAAATTTTGATTATTGTCTAACCAAACCTCTTGTTCCACCCAAAAAAATAAAAGGGAAAAAAATCCTTCGCAATAGATTTTATTGAATTAAGTTAAACTAGAGTATTGGAAAAACTCAAGATAAAATTGTTCAACTGATATAGCAGGTTTAGCATTCTTGACAAAAAAAACAAAACTAAAAAATTCAAAGCAATTCATGTCTCAATCACTGAATTTGGATTTGAGAATCTTACTCATCATGATTTTCAAATACTTCTGTTGTGTCCTCTTTAATGATGATTTTTATACCTCTATCTCTCTCTCTCTCTCTCTAATGTGCTTTTTTAGTTAATATCATTTGATTTTATGCAGAGTTGTTTGTTAGCTTTTCTATGTGGTGGACTATTTTGGATGCCTTCAACCTGCCATTTTCTTTGAGAAGAATTTGGTCAGGAATGTTTTCCTTTATGCATTATACCGCCTCTGATACAGCTTCTGTTAATTTACAGGAATTGGGTTCAAGAGTGTATTTTTGATAACGGCTCACCCTTACATATTCAGTAATGGTTATCGGATAAGATTTAGTGAAGAACCCTGCTCGCATTGCAATCTTGGATACATCGTCCCTGAATGGGTTGAGGAGAATCCAACTATTTCCCTTATCCAACAGATATATGGATCTGGTGCTGCCCTCCCAACCACAACATTAGTGCTGCCGCTGAAGCCTGACAAGGTGAAACCTGTGGAGATGCAGCTTTCAAGCCTTCATCCTGAAGTTCTGTTGTTTCTTTCAAAGATAAAGAAGCTTTCGGTTCGTGAAAACAATGAGGATCCTAGACTTAACACTGTGAGTGCAATATCTATTTCAAGTGAGACAAACTTTGTTACAAGGAAGAATATTGATGCTGAGTCCTACATGCTTCATCTTTCCGCTGATGTGAATGATGATGATGCGGAAAAAGAATGCAGCTACCATATGTGGAGGCAGAGGTTTCCTGTTAGGCTGGAAAACAGAGTAGAAAGAAGAATGGAAGTAGAAGAGTGGGTGATAACTTTGGCTTTTCCAAATGGAAAGCGACTTCAAAGAGGAAACCAATCTCCAGGGATCTATGCATTTCTACCAACAGAGATGGTGACGAACTTTCCCTTCATAATTCAGGCAGATTTTCTTCTAGCTTCGTCCAGGGAGACAATCCTCTTGGACAACAAATGGAACCAAGGGATTCTTGACTGTGTGCCCTTGGCTTTTGTTAATGCATTGACTTCGCTTGTGAAAAATACAGAAGGTGCTCCAGTTTCTAGTCTGCCTCGCATGTTTGGGTTTTTACCACTCAACAGTTCTCCCTATGCACAGCTAAATGCAGTGAGGGAGTCAATTAAGACAAAAGTGGTGGCTGAAAGTATAGTTCCACGTGAGTCTTACCAGGAGCAGAAGATCTTCGATAAACCCTGTGATGTTGGTAGGTTAATGCCTGCCTTCTGGAATATATTGAAAAAGGCGAGGAACCAAGGGGTGTACTTGGATAATATCTCATCCCATGGAAGGTTTATCTTAAGCTCTTACTTTGATAGAGAAAAGTACAATGACGTATTGAAATTTTTGGAGGTGAGACATGTTGATGATGAATGGTATGCAACATGTATCCAGAGTTGTAATCTTGTTCTCGGAGTATCAGATGATGTTTATTTAGAACTGTTAGCATTTCTTGCTGACAAATGGAATTCTTGTTTTCACAAAACAAGCATTAAGAACATACCGCTTCTGAAGTATGTGGGTCATGACAGAGATGTGTCGTTGGTACCCTTGCTGAATGGTGGTAGGGTGCTAGTATCCTCTGATCCTAGTCACATCTCGTGGCTGATTGATTGGAACAAGGAATTCAGATGTGCTGCAGATCGATTTTTTCTGCCGAAATCGACACAAGAAGCTATGGGGTTATGTTCTAAGAGACAGAGCATATTGGAATGGCTTTGCAACCAGATGAAGGTTAGTTCTGTAAATGTGTATGATTATGCAATTCTCCTCGGTAAGTCACTAGTTGATCGGAAGCTTGTTGTTGCCTATGCTCATTTCTTATATCACTCGCTCTCACAAAATTATCTGTCTAGGCAACAAGTTGAATATTTGTGTAGTATTATGCCACTCGTTGATAACTATGGGCGGGTGACCACCGGAAGGGCAGGGGTTCTTGTACCTGCTAATGGAAGCAGATGGGTGGAGCTGATTGGTTCAAATCCATGGAGAGCAGAAGGTTATGTTGAGCTTGCAGAAGACTATTTGCGTTCTGGCAACTATGTAGATTTACTAACACTTGAAAGAGAGCTTGTTAAATTCCTCAAGTCGCATGTTGCAGCTTCTGACATCCCATATCTCTCCCCTCCCAATGCTGTAGTTCCTACATTCTCTGCTCCACTGACAAAGCAGAATGCATTATTGCTGTTGGAATGGATTCAGTATTTGAGAAGGTATGGGATACCCATTCCGACAAATTTTCTGACCTGCATAAAAGAGGGAAGCTGGCTGAAGGTTTCTCTGAATGGCAGTCCTGCCTACAAGCCTCCGTCACAGTCATTCGTACCTGACTCATCATGGGGTGACCTTCTGCAGAATGGATTGGTGCTAGTTGATATTCCCTTAATTGATCTAGATTTCTATGGTGGTAAATTAAATGGCTATAAGGAGGAGTTAAGAACCATTGGCTTGATGTTTGAATATAAAGAAGCATGTCAATATATAGGGAAGCATCTCATGTCTCTGGCAGCTTCCTCAACTTTAACCAGAGGCAATGTGCTTTCAATACTGAATTTCATCAAGTTTCTAAGGGATTCATATCTTCCTCTTGAAGACTTTGTCAAGGCTGTTAAAGAAGGCAGGTGGCTAAGGACTTCCCGAGGTGACAGGACTCCAGGTGGTACAGTTTTATTTGATCAGGAGTGGAAAGCTGCATCACAAATCAGTGATATTCCATTCATTGATCAAGACTATTATGGCGAGGAAATTCTCTCTTTCAGAACGGAACTACAGCTAGTTGGGGTGGTAGTTGGATTTAATCAAAGCCACAAACTTGTGGTCGACAACTTAAAATCTCCAGCACGCATAACTTCTCTGACAGCTGAGGGAGTTCTTTTAATATTGGAGTGTATACGTCATTTTGGATCGGCTGACAAATTTGTTCAAGCACTTAAAGATAAGAAATGCATCAAGACACAGATGGGCTTCAAATCTCCAGCTGAATGCTTTCTGTTTGATCCTGAATGGGCTTGCCTTCTGCAGATTTTTAACAGCTTCCCACTCATCGATAAAAATTTCTATGGAAGCAGCATTTTATCGTACAAAAATGAGTTGAAGCAACTTGGTCTGGTGGTGAATTTTGAGGAAGCAGCCAAAGCATTTGCTCGCGTTTTTAAGAAGCAAGCTTCACTATTTTCCATCGGAAAAGGTAATGTTCTTTCACTTCTGGAATGCTACAGAAGGCTAATGAGAGCAGAAACAAGATTTCCCTCAGATCTTCAGAACTGCTTTCTTGAGGTGAAATGGTTACGAACTCGCCTAGGTGATTACAGAGCACCGAAAGAGTGCATTCTGTTCGGCCCCGATTGGGAGTCTATTTCTCCTATTTCTCTACTTCCTTTCATTGATGATAGTGATAATTACTATGGAAAGGGCATCCGTGAATATGAAAAGGAGCTTGAGAGTATGGGAGTTGTTGCTGCTTTTAAAAGTGGTGCGAAGTTTGTGGAGGCCGGCCTTTATTTACCTCAAAATCCCAGAACCATAACTCCCTCGAATGTATATTCATTGCTGGAATGCATCAGGAATTTACAGCAGGAACACAATGGGTCTATATCTGAAGCATTTTTGAAAAAACTTGGAAAAAAATGGTTGAAAACTCATGCAGGCTACAGGCCTCCAGTTGAGTGCTTGTTGTTTGATTCTGGTTGGGGTTCTTTCTTATGGCGCCAGGATGGGCCTTTCATTGATGAGAAATTTTATGGTTCCAAAATTACAGCCTACAGGAAAGAGCTCAACGCTATTGGAGTCACAATTGACTATAAACATGGTTGCCCATTGCTTGCCAATTACCTTGATCACCATTCCAACTTCGCTACTATCAATCGAATTTATAGTTATTTGTGTAAATTCAATTGGAAGCCGCATGATGAGGATACCAAAAGAATTTGGATCCCAAATGGAAGTGAAAATGGAGAATGGGTAGGCGCTGGAGAATGTGTTCTTCATGACAAAAATGACCTCTTCAGTTTGCAGTTGAATGTACTGGAGAAGCACTATAAACAGGAATTACTGAACTTCTTCTCTGGAGTTTTGGGAGTTAAATCCAGTCCTGTTCTTGATGATTATTGCAAGCTTTGGAAGGTATGGGAAGATTGTGGAGACGGATTGTCGCATGCTGAATGTTGTGCCTTTTGGGGATTTGTTGTAAAGCACTGGAATTCTAGGACAGAGGAAAAACTTACACAAAACATGTCAAAAGTGCCTGTGTCAGGTTCAGATGGAATTCTTCTGGTTGAGAAGCATGATGTTTTTATTGCTGATGATCTTTATCTGCAGGATCTTTTTGAACAGGCTTCTGCTCATCCACTATTTGTCTGGTATCCTCAGCCAAGCTTGCAATCCTTGCCTCGAACAAGGCTTCTTGAAATCTATGGCAAAATTGGCGTCCAAACTTTATCTGGATCTGTAGAAAAGGAACTATCGGATCTGGAAGATGTTGGACTTGAAGAAGTGGATTGGATGGATGCCTTTTATGGAGGGGGCATATGTAGGCTCATTCTTGGCTTTCTTGCTGATCCTGCTCTCAACATGGAAGCAGAGAGGAGGCACGACGTTGTCAGACGCCTCCTCAATGTTGATGTGTTTGAGACAATTGAGCCAATTACAGTAGGATATAGTTTATCACTTTCGTCAGGAGAAATTTTGAATGTGAAAGCAAGTCGAATGATACGTTGGGAGAGAGAGAGTTCAAAGTTTTTTACACAGAAGAGGGACATGTCAGGTGGATATAAAGAGCGAATTGAATATGCTTCATATTTTTCCGAAGTAGTGGCTGAGGGAGTGCTGTGGGAGGATGAAGATCATATATACCAACTGACTGAACTGATTAAGTTGGGTTGTCTCCTTGGGTTTGATGACGAAGCTATTGCGTTCTTGATGAAAAAGAACAATCTGCAGATATTTTTGGAGGATGAGGAGTTTCTCTCTTCTGCCTTCACTTCTGATTAGGTATGGTATGAACTCTTATTATATTGAAGTTTTTATCTAATAGGATTTCTGAACGAAAGATTAAGTTTCTTTTGTTCAACTAACTAAAGGAAAAGGAAGAACTCAGATCATGCATAGGTGATCATCCTTGTCATTGGATTGAGAAAACGTCTTTCAATGCCTTGATCCACCCCATAATCCCTTTTCTCTTTGGCTATTTTATTTGAATACTGTAATAATGGTGTGCTACTAGAGTGAATTTGTAAGAATGAATACATTTCAATGGAGCTGCTTGTCGTAGTTTAATCGATTGTGAACGTCATTTTCCGATGGCTCTTGCTCTTGTTTCATCCTTTTTATGCCTTCTCTTGGTTGCAATATCTAGCATACTGTTTTCATCTCTTCTATCAAAATTATTTTTGTTCATAGTTAGTTATTAAGTGACAAGTTTATGATAAAAAATCGATAGTAATCTGGACATTGTGTGTTTGAAGAACTATATAGAAATATATCCAATACTTTAAGGACTAAAATGATGCAATTGAAATATTGAGTACCAAATGAGACAAATCACATACTTTGAGGATTTCTAATGCTATTGACCCATAAATATTTAAATGTCAAAGAAATAACTATTCAAGTCTAGGATTACTTGTTAGGATCTTGTGTGGACATAAAATACATAAATCTTATGAATATTCAATGTATCGACATCTGAGAATCTAGATGTATTAAGAATATGTCACATGAAAGTAACTGAAGAAAGGTGGGGATAATCAGTCATAGTCGTGTTTGAAAAAGAAATAACTACAAGTTACTATTTAGTAAATGTCGATGGAAGTAAAATCATAAAAAATAATGGCTATAAAAAGGTATATAGTGGAGAAGTACAAGTTACTATTTAGTAAATGTCGATGGAAGTAAAATCATAAAAAATAATGGCTATAAAAAGGTATATAGTGGAGAAGTTGAAGAATATAAAAAGGCACTAAGAAGATGTCACGTGAAATAAAAATTAAAGAAAGACGGAAGATGATTAGTCACAGTCATGTTTGAAAAAGAAATAATTAACTACAAGTTACTATTCAGTAACCGTCGATGAAAGTAAAATCGTAAAAAACAATGGCTATAAAAGGACAGTCAAACCTTCACAAGTCCCAAGATTTAGACATTTTTAGGAATAGTGTTAGATTAGTTTTAAGAGAGAGTTATTGTTGCAATTAAGACTATTTATCTAGTTGTTGCAATTAATAAAAGAATCCTTTTTTATTAGTTCCTTATACCACGTGTTTGTCCATTAAAATTTAAGGAAATCTTGAAACTAATCATTTGAACCCATCACAAACAATTGCCTGAGAACTGTCTATTGATTGAGTTTCTTCCATCGATAACAACAGATTTTGGAACAACAGATCCTCAACAAATTCAAGAGGATTTTGATCACCCAACTCCACTCAAAAACAACATTGAAGCTGCATATCTTAGTTGGGGCCAAAAGAAAGAGAATTTAGACTATAAGATCTATTTGCTTTGTTCCACTTTTTTGAAAATCCATTTAAGGTTCAAGAGTAATTCAATCGGAAGACCAACATAGCATGAAACCTTTGCTAACATAATTTCCATGGTAACCATACAAAGACATTCAAGATTTGCAATGAGCATGAAAGCTGGGAATAAAAAAGAAGATCAAATATATGTTTGTGCCCGTTAATCTGAGAACTTAA